CAACCAACCAAACCAAACCAAACCAAATCAAGCCTTAAGTCCCATCACATGGGAAAATGATTTGCGACATGAAAAAAAAAAAACATTTATTGGATACTTAATTGTTAAAAGAAAATTACTCTAGAAGTACCTTAAATTCTTAAGTGTAATATATATAAGTCTATTCTTATCGTATCACATTTTAGACCATGTGGCATACAACGTTCCCGTTTCCCTTTCATGTACCGGAACGATCCACGTTCTAGGTAATATAGAATTGCATTCTGTATGTGATAATAATGTTTTATTTTCATTTTTCCTTTTCCTTTTTCCATTTTCTTTCCCATTTTGTGGTTTTTGTTTTTGATGACAAAGTAGGGAGCAAGGATATTTTTTGGTTGCTTTTCGTTTGCCTATTGAATTTCCTTTTGCAAGATTTTTTTGCTAACCTAAATTCAGTTGGTGTATGAGTGACCAAAGTCTTTTGAGGCATTTCTAAACTGCACCTTGCGAGGCTCACGAAAGATGCACAAATGTGTTTAAGTGTGGTAGCAATTATGTGCATCTATTTTCGGTAAGGTGTTCATCTTAGGTGTGCCTTTTATGCATTTCACTCCTTTTCGATTGGAAAGGTGTACTAACCATAAGCTAGGTTGTAAAAAAATTTAAAAATTCTAGTAAATGGTGCATTAGATAAGCGGGAAATAAAGTGTCACATTAGACTTATAAGGGGTTTTCATGTAAGCAAGGGTTTTCATGAGGAAGGAAGCCAATAAAAAAAAGAAGCAAACCTAGGGTTCGAGTTGCTGGTTCGAGCAAGGCTTCGATTTACAAAGCACTGGTCTCGAATTCTCTTCTGATCTTTTCTTTTTTGTTCTTTTTTTGTCAATTCTATTGTAATAGGTTATAATAAGTTAAGCTAGGCATTGTTAACTTGTGCTAGTTTTGCTTTCTTGCTTTGGTTGCTATTAGGTGTGCATTGTTATTTTGGAATCGGCTGTAATAATATTTACTTGTTGTCTATGTCTGGTTTTTACAATTCACTATGTTTCTATGCTTAGAATACTCTTATAATGTTTGGATTTATCATTTCATTATGTTCTATGCTTGGAATGGTTTTTATGAATTTTCTTTGCTATTCCTATTTTCTAAACTCTTTTTATGCTATTTTTAATTAATTTTATATTTTATTAAAATATAAAAATTCAAAACTCAAAAGGCTTCAACACCTCCGTGTTGAGGGGTAAAATGCCTCGCTTTGTGCACTAACCTTTAAAAACTTTGTGAGTAACTAATGTTATTTACTTCTACTATATTGTATTGTGTAAGAGGATTGAGGAAAGTATTCATAATTTATTTTTGCACTGGCCCGTGGCTATGATGACATCATGGAATAGATTGTTTTAGTTGGTGGAGGTTGAATGTGTAGTTCCAGCTTGATGTGTTTGGATGTTCTTTCTTGACAATAGAGGTTTTGGCTTCAACAGGAAAGCTTGAGTACTTTGGAATTGTGTTACTTGTCGTGCTTTGGGTCATTTGGTTGGAAGGAAATGCAAGAATTTTGAGGATAAGTTTGAGGATATAGGAGTCTTGTGGGATAAGATTTGTTATTTGTGTCACTTGTCGTGCTTCCATTTTTCAAGGACACTGGTCATGTATCCTTTTAGGCTTAGGCATGTGTCAGTTATAGTGTGTGTCTATGTTTTTCATCCTCATACTGCCCAAATTTTCAAACAAAGATATAAATGAATCATGGAATCTTCCACAATTATTTCTATGCCCTAAAAAGTTATATAGGATAGCATCTTCAACATGGATACTTTATTGCAATTGAAACACCCATGAAATATCAAAAACATTAAAATTTTTGGGTTACATCTACAAAACTAGGATTACATCTTGTTAAGCCCTTTGATGGACATGTCTGGTTGATGGATAAGTGGTGAAGCTGTATATTCTATTTTCCCTCTCATACTTGTAATGTATATTTTTGCTTTCTGTCTTGTACTTCTCATTAAGAAAATGCAAATAATACATAAATTGAAAATTTTCTACATTATGAATGTTATTATTTCTGATATTGGGTGCCATTATAACCATTTTAGCGAATATAAATCATGTATTCAATTTAACAAGTTTTCCTTTAAGGATGTTACTCAACTTAATTTTCTTAGATTTTTTTAAGGATTCTTTTCACCTTGAAATTTCTATATCGATCTAATGTGCTGCTTGCTTTTCTTTCCAATGTAGGTTGCCATGGCCCTTAAATGCCGTGGAGAACAAGTGTTAGGAAGCCTTTATACCGGGATCAATACACAACAAATTGTTATGTCAAGCAAGATGGTTATGTTTCTAGGACTGCGTTTGCAACTTTTAATATCAGTATTTCCCTTAATTAAATTGTTTGTATTGTGATTATTAATTAATGGATAATTTATCTAGGTAGAAGAGTACAGTGGACTGCATGTGCAACCACACAAGGCCATTGTTGGGGCTAATGCTTTTGCTCATGAAAGTGGTATCCATCAGGTTGGTGTTGTACTAAAAATGATTTAATGATTTGTTTCATTTACTCAGCTAGGTATCCTTAACTTCTACGTTCTTGACCTATATGGCCATGTTTTTCTTTTATTCATCATCTCATTAGTTGATGGTTCTCTACTTCTTGTCTTTGTTTTTTAAGAGCAGCTACTTTCCAATATCTTGTCCTCTTAATTATTTAGCCTTTCTATTTTATGAAACTATTTTTTCTTGTGGATGACGTTAAAAAGGGCCAGAGGATCAACATTTACCAAAGAAGACACCCCCGATCCAATCTCAACCACGTAATCCTTTGCACGATACCCATCAAATAAGAAAACCCCAAAAATTGATGCGACATAAGGACGAAACACAAATTCATCCTCGCAATAAAAAATATCTATCAATTCCCCTTGGACATCCACGTCGGACCAACAAGCACAACGGGGTTCAATCCCTCCCGTATCATAGGAAAATGACTTCGACTTGGGGGCTACGTAAGGAAATCACTCATAGAAAAACACTAGAAGAAATGTTGTGAATATGAAGTTCACAACATCATATCTTCCTTTTGAGCGACAAGTGGCCTCTTGATACATATCCAACTTCCTATCCAAGCTTCCAAGGAACAAGGGCACCAATGAAACCGGACGCCCACTTGCAAAAATGGCATCAATAGGGAACAACTCATAATTACTACCATCCTAATGCCGACCACCCAGAACACACGTAAGCAACCAAATGCCACGGACTTCCCCATTTTCCATCCTTCATGCTAGGCCTTGTCACTCCATGCGTCGAAGGTTTATCGTTCTTTTTTGCTCAAATCATGGTGCTAATACTGCAACCAACCACCAAAGCAATTCTTCTTGAAGTCGCACCATTGAGTCCTAACATAGACTTCGTTCCTATAAATAGTCAATATCCTCCCTGCCTCATTAGTTGAGGCCTCCAATTCTGTCACAATGGCCAGTTGCCTACTCGATAGCTAGTAATAAGTAGGGTTAGCCTACCTAATATGTTTCAAACCAGTCAAGACGGTGACATCCTCCAAAGTTGGCTCGCCTCCCCCCATGGAGCTACAAAAGTGGTAATAAGTAGGGTTAGCCTTCCCAATATGTTTCAAACCAGTCAAGACGGTGACATCCTTCAAAGTTGGCCCGCCTCCCCCCATGGAGCTACAAAAGTGTGGGAACTCAAGCTCTACCTAGAAAGCATAAAGTCTAAACCAGTCGGGCACTCACCTAAACAGTGACTTGTGACCACCCCAAAATGACAAAAGCAATACTTGCGGATTCTAAAAGCTCGTGATAAGGGAGATGACGAAATGCAACTTTAGTTCAAATATGGAAATCATCCTTCACACCGATGTAGTATTTGAAAGCAGGGACATAAAACGGTTAGCTCCCCAACTCCAAATGAATGGGCACAATAGAGCCTGGTTGAGTAGGGGCTTCCATTCCCTCGTCCGACTTAACACCGCCCAACAAAACTTCTGTCGAACTCTTCGCAGCCTCATCAAATAGATCTAATTTTTCTCCAAAATTTATCATAATGGCCAAAGAAAGGTGCCCAACCCCAACCCTAACCCCGGCACATCAAGAGGCTTCATTTCGTCCTTTTTGGCTTTGTAATGACACTTTTTATTTGATCTGCTCCTTTTTGAAGCACCTGCGGGCGTCACTTGTGAATCACTAGGTACATTTGTTGGGGCCAAGTTAGCACCCATTTTCACTTTTGCCATCTCCAAGTGTTTTACAAATCTACCTACATCAGGCATTCAAAATTCCAAGTCAATACTTGCCTCTGCCAAAGGAATGTAGACAAAGACATGGAAACTTCAAACGAAAAGAAGTTATCTAAGGGTTACTCACTGTCCAACCCAACTAAGCTTACAAGTATGAAGCTCTAGACTTGAAGGCAAGTGCAATGCCTACCTACACAATTTACTTCCAAACAAATAGAGGGTGTTGCAATTCAAGGGAGGCAAGAGCTTGTTCAATCAAAAGAAACTCACTGAAAGGGTTTTGAAATACAGCCAACAACAAATGAACCCCGCTAGCTCGCTACACCTTTATGGATAAATCTCTGGCTCAAGCAAGAAGCAAACACGTTGTGCCCAACTGAGCATTAAATTATGAAACAGTAAAAGTATGGAGCAATAACAAAAAAGTTTGAAATGTAGAAACTCACCAAAAGAAATTAGCTCAACGAAGGAGTTATAGCTTGATGACGAAAGCCGCAATCATCCCAGCTTGCGACACTCTTGGCTCGCGATACCTTTAGCTCACATGTTTGTTTTAACTTATAAAAATCGAAGCCCAAAATTTCAAGTGCATTTTGACAAAACTCTTAGAATATTTTGACAAATGGTGAATTTTTGCAGCTTGCGTCACTCATGGCTCGGTACACCTTCAGCTCACAGATTCTCTTCAATTCAGGAAAAATCAAAGACCAAGTTTTCAACTTGTGCAACCACCCCCAACCCTTTACTTGATCCTCCGAAAAGATCAACAAAGAAGTTTCAAGAAAGCTCAAGTGTAGATAAGAGACCAGAGCTCCCCTTTAATCAAATTTGTGAAATTATTGCTAACTGTAGCTCGAAAGACTTCATCTCACAACTTGACAGCTTGACAGCTCGAAATCAACCAACTTTCGGGCTCACAACAACTACATGCAACTCGAAAAACTTAAGCTCACAACTCGGTAGCATGACAACTCACTCTTTGAGCTCACCCCACAATTTTTCGGCTCACAAAATTTTGATGAACCCCAATTCAAAGGATAACAAAACTTGTGTACTAAATTTGTGTTGTGCCAGAAAAAACCGAAGCTCAAAATACAAGCACAAGTGTTGATCCCCCCTTGTCTCGCTACGCACTTGAGAAACTTTAGCTCAACGAAGGAGTTAGTTCGAAGAAATCCGAAACCAGCTTACTAGCTCAACAGGCCAATTTACTTGACTTCCTTTTTCTTGGTTCAAGGTTGAACTCAATCCCTCACTGCATAAGAAGGGCCAACTCGTGACCCACCCTGGGCTAGACCTCCTTTTTCCTGATTCCACAAAGAATAGCTCGCACTACAAAGGATTCTATACAAGTTTCAACCAAAACGATTCAAATTGTGTTGTTGAATCGAAAATTGAGTGAATCGTTTGATTTGATATGCAATTCATTGTGATTTATTGCGAGCTCAACGAAGGAGTTAGTTCGAAGAAGTTCGAAACCAGCTTACCAGCTCAACGGGCCAATTTATTTGACTTCTTTTTTCTTGGTTCAAGGTTAAACTCAATACCTCACTGCATAAGAAGGGCCAACTCGTGATCCACCCTAGGCTAGACCTCCTTTTTCATGATTCCACAAAGAACAACTCGCGCTACAAAGGATTCTATACAAGTTTCAACTAAAATGATTCAAATTGTGCTATTGAATTGAAAATTGAGTGAATCGTTTGATTTGATATGCAATTCATTGATATTTATTGTGATTCACTATGACTCATTGCAATTCAGGCCTCGTTTGGTAAGTTAACATTTTAGCCAAAAAGTCAAAAAGCCTATAATCTATACCAAAAAGTCAAAGATTCTTTTTTCTCTCTACTTTTTGCACATCTTTTTGTAAAAAGCCAAAAAGCCACCTCAAACATACTAGTTTTTTTTACCTCATATTTTAGTCAAAAAGCCAAAAAATTACTAAAATAGCCTATTCCCAAACGAGGCCTCAGTTTCGTTTTTGTTTTTGGTTGGATCATGAATGAGACGATGCCAGTTTTGCCTCTCTAGCAAGAAAGAAGAGATCAATTAGTTATATTGGTCTATGTGGTTTTATATTGTATACACATATAATTTAGTTACATTGATATTTATTCCATTTACTATTTCTGTTGAAGATAATTTTATACTGTAATAACTTGTTACTGGGGTTTTGTAAGGCCTATAATTTTGGCCTCTTAGGAAAAAAACTGAGGACACTTGTAGATAGGTTGATAATAGTGTTGATTTGGAAGAGCTTTGGCTCTTCCCTCTTCTTTTTCTGCAATGTAAGACATTCTACTTTCGTTATATTCTAATGAGTTTGCTCTGTCAAAAGCTGTACTGTAAGTTTGTATATGTTATAATTGACCATAAAAAGTTCAATAAATTTATAGCATTGTGATTGGATGGCAATTCAAGCTGGATGGGTCAAGCTATGGCCTGTTTAAGCAAATTCATTTGTTGACAATCATGGAATCTAGGCTCAGGATCAGTTGTTTATTTATAAAGAAGCCTGAATCCCACGGATGGATCAATTTTATGGTGCTCGTGGAAACCTAGTCATTTGTGGCCACAGTGGTGACTTGCTGACAAAGATCCAGGATCTGCTTTCAGAAATCTCGTCTTATAGTGACCTGATGGTGGTTTCAGTGGATTGAGTGGATAATATTTCTAGAGAACTTGTGATGGTTAGTGACGTTCAATATGGGGGCATTGTGTAATATTATATGCTCACAGATGCCATCAATCAGTAGTCAGGGGTGGTAACATATACCCGTTTGGTGCCCCCAAAAGGTTGGAGAAGTTTGCCAAAAGAAATTACTACTGGAAGTTGCTTATGGCATTACCACCTTACTAATCAAGGGTTCCTGGCATTAGAAATCCTGGTAGACAATTATTGCAGTTCACAATCTCCTTCGATCTTTAGTTTACGTCTTTCTTTATTTTGCAGTAATCATCATGCCTCTTGATTCTGTTTTCCCTCTTTCTCTGTCCCATAAATCTCAATTGTTGTGAATCGTGACACTTCCATTTTACATTATATTAATTATTTTGACCAAGATACATTAGGTATATCTTTGAGGAGATGGAAAAACGGAAGGAAAACCAAAAATGTCTTCTCCAAGCCAAAAAAGTAAAACATAAAGAAAAACAATGCAACACAAACAACAACACGCATCTTTGGGAAACACTCGTGCATTTGTTTTCTTTAATCTTTACTTTTATGATCTTTTTCTTACTTTCAACTTTAGGTTTCTGTATATAGCTTTTGTTTCTTTTTGAGTTCAGATTTATAAAAGGAAAATGTCTTCGTACTTTTTCAAAAGCCCATGTTTGTTCTCATCTCTAAAATTGATTTAGACTTTCAAAATTGACTTATACTATATGTTTTGTAGGATGGAATGCTTAAACATAAAAATACATATGAGATTATATCTCCTGAAGATATTGGGCTTCACCGGGCTAATGAGTCTGGTATTGTCCTTGGAAAACTCAGGTATGCTATACCAAATTTCTACTTGGCAGATTTCTGTTTCCTTTTTCTTTTCCTTTTTTGGGCCTTTCAACTTGTTTTTGTTTGTTTTGTTCAGTTCTTTTTACTTCTTACTACCAATATATTAAATGTATCTTCTTGATGTTTTCCTCCTTCAGACGAGCATAGAAAATGCATGTTTGCACGTGCTAAGATATCATCCTGCATCTTGCACTATTGTAGTAGATGTACTGTAGACTAGATCTCCAGAAAATGGGATTGAGTGTTTGTATCTGAGGTCAAATTGTATTTGAAGATATACATGAGCAACAAAACACTTTTTCAGTGAGACCTTGACAAAACCAAAGTTATGTAATCTGAGTGGCTAACAGGCAGACAATTTGTGATCAAAGCATTGTGACACAAATAAAACCTGCTGGCTGCTTTAGAGAAAGCCAATTTCTGCTAAATTTCTAGCATTGATCAGAAAGGATAATTTGAGAATCTTCAATCAAGGGTAGTGAGATGAATCAACATGTCTAAATAAGGAATGGATCAACCTGTCCAAGCTTTGTTTCCAAGGGCTCGGTGAATATTCATAGTAGTAATAAACAAAAGATTTGTTGAAGTTGGACTGACTGAATCCCAAGCAATATATATTGGTTGATCCCAAACAAACCATAAATGGAAACATTATTGAAAGACTTACTAAAAGAGAAGTTTAGATAACTTTCCAAAACCTATATATAACATAGTGATTGCAGCTGTACTTGGATATTTGTAGTTTTCTCATTAAAAAATTACAAACTCAATCCAGTTACTGGAGTTTTTGATTTATGTGCTTTAACGATGAGCGATGTGATTGGCCTCCATCTCGAAATAATGAGCGATGTGATTGGCCTCGATCTTGAAAGATGTATTCTTGGGAAAAACTCTAGTACCATCTTGATGCGGCCCAATCGGCTAACAGCCGGCTGATCCACAATCAAGGTACTGTATGGCAATCAAATTGCTCTGCTACCATTTTGTTAGTCAAGCTGTTTAAAAGAGTTGCCTAAAAGATGGGAGGTGTGTGAATATATATATCTAACACCATCTTGATGCCGGTCAATTAGCTAAGAGATGGCTGATCCACGATCAAAGTAGCATATCTGCAATCAAGCTGCTCTGATACCAGTATGTTAGGTAAGTATGTTATTTAAAAGTGTTACCTAAAAGAGGAGAATTGTGCATATATTTTGGTAATGAGGAATCGGGGGCTTTGTCATGACTGCTCTCCCATTCCACACATAGTGGGCAATTACCGGGCACAGGTCCTGGGGTGGTCCCCAAAAGGGGATCAAGGGCTTCACGGGATTTAAACTCATGACCTGTGCTTCTTGAGGCACTTATCATGGTTCAACTTGCCACTCGGTTAACACCTTGGAGTTGTGAGTCTGTGTGAATATTCATAGAATTTTTCAAAAACCCTAACCACTTTTGTACTGTGCTCTGCCATTTAGTATGGCAAAGAAATGAGCATACAAGAAAAGGTGTGACCAAAGAAGTATGGACACGGACACGCGACACGACACGAACATGTTGATACGGCAATTTTCAAAAAATGCAGGACACGACATGTGGGGGATATGCACAAAATATAATTTTATATATTTATTATATGTCATATATAAGAATATATCATTCAATGATAATAAATAAAAAATGCAATATAACACTTGTGTACATGAACTTTATTAAGTGTCCTAGGCTGGTCCATTGCACACACACTCTCTCTCTCTCTCTCTCGTGTGTGCCTGCACCTAAATTGCTTTGGTAGGGATTTGGCTGCTCCCTTTTAAGGGTTATAAATGGTGCTGCAGTCTTGAGCCTCGCAATTAGCGCTATCAGTATGGCATCATCTTTTTTTTTTTTTCCCCCCCCCTTCTTTTAACCTTAATTTTTTTTTGTCACTGTGTTGTGCTTGTCAAAGTGCTAGATGCAATGATGGTGAATATTCTGTCTGATCTATTTATATCTAAGAGAGTATTAAATATTCATATGGTCTTACTATGATGGATGTTGGTGGATCGAATCCTCTCTTTCTCCCTTTGTAGATCATTTCAATAACACTCTGTTTGAATGGAAAGGTTTGGTGAGAGAAGAAAAGAGGAGAGAATGAGGTTTCTCGTCACTTGTTTGGATGATCAATATAGTGAGAAATGGTGAGAAAGAAAGAGAAATGGTGATAAAGACAACCCCCTCATAACTTAAGTTTTGTTTTTCTCCAAAAGTGGTGAGATTTCGTGACAAACCAAAATTACTCTATACCAAAAAACAAAAAAAAATATATATATATATATATATATTAAAAGACAAATTTAAATCTTAGTACATACAATTTATATTGTTCGGATATAAACTTCCGAACAAAAAACAGTTGTTTGGCTATAAACTATGGAACAGAATGTACTGAACAATTCATTTTTGTTTGGAAATTTATGTCTGAATATTTGATTTTTGTTCGAAGTTTATATTTGAACGAGACAAATGGTGTGTGCTAAGATTTTCCACAGTGTTCGAATAGAATTACCCACAAAACTCTTCTGTTTTTTCAATTCATACCATGATTTTTCCTGATAAGCGGGGAACATAGAAATAAGGATGCTATCTCTCTTTGATTTCATAACTAATTTCAAGTTTCTTGAGTAGATGATGGAAGAAAACCAAAGCAAATATTGGCAAAATTGTTCTTCTAGCCGTCAAACCACAATGTCAAACCACAATACATGGACATCTAGTTAAATTGAGGCTAAGAAAACTGAGTATATCATTCCATTTCCAACATAAACAAAAGCACCCAAAATGATTAGCAAAGAATTTACTGCACCTTCACAAGAAGTATGTATTGTGGTTCTACTTCTTGTGAAAGTGCAGTAAATTCTTTGCTAATCATTTTGGGTGCTTTTGTTTATGTTGGAAATGGAATGATATACTCAATTTTCTTAGCCTCAATTTAAGAATCAGTAAAGAGGGTGCTCGCAAGGTTGCATGAATTCCCTTATTGAGTTGCATGGTCTTTGTCATGTCGCCATCAGTATTCACTAGCTAAAGGTGTAATAACCTAAAACTTTTGGATTTGTTGCATAAAATAAATAACCTAAACCACTCCCTCAGCCCTCACTTTACTCAGGTCTCTTATTATTATTATTATTATTATTGTTATTAAATTTTTGGTTCTGTTTATGTTTTTTGCTGTGATCCAGATTACTACTGATGATGATCTGATAGCACTGGTGTCAGATGTAGTTTTCCAGCCACAAGTTGTTTGGAAGCTTGGAGATGTTCAAGTATGTATAGACTCCACTTTTAAGTTTCAACGTAGTTGTTCATTATTCAATTAAGTTGTGACTCTTAACAATTAATTTGAATACTTGCCAAATAGGTTACATGTGGAACTCTTGGTCTCCCTATGGCAACTGTTAGACTCATTGATGTTGAGGGGGAAGAGCATATTGCATGTGCGAATGGAACAGGTCCAGTTGATTCAGCATACAAAGCGGTTGATCTCATTGTGAAGGTTTGCCGCAGAAACTTGTATTTTCTTCTCCCACGATATTCCTATGAGGCTTGATAATAGTTAGAATTGTATGAAGAAGAAAAGAAAGAGAGACGAGCAAGAGAAATAATCTGCAAGAAAAGAGAGGCACTCTAAAAATTAGGGTTTTCCTCTCTTACCTCAATACATTTGTATTAAAAGGAAGATAAATTAAAAATATAAAAAATTCCCTCAACACAACTTAATACTCCCCATCAAGTTAGTGCATAGATATCTCTCATGCTCAACTTGCACACAATATGATGAAACACCTTGCCACCCGGACTTTCAGTTAATACATCAACTATCTGGTCTCCTGGTTTCACTAAAGCATATAAATCACACTATTATTCAATTTCTCATTAAAAAAATAACTTAACTCCAAAATTACCATCAATGAACAAGCCAGTTACCAATGGCTATTGTTGATAATGATTTAACTATTCGTTATCAACAATCAAAATTTATGGTGTTGAGGACTTGTTTTTCCAAAACCAGAACCAAATGACTTATTTATCAAAAACTAGAACCAAAGTCTACAAAACAGTTAGTTTAGGAATGAAAAAGAGCATACACGCAATTTTAGTTTGAACTATTACTCAACAAAGCCTCATACCGATAATTTGAAATCAGCCAAATGAATCTTGTTTTGCCATTCGGCTCAATAGTTCATAACTTCAACCAAACAACACACTATCATGTCTTCCTTTACTTTCTTAACCCACAATGATTTTAGCCTTCCTCTTCCTGTGCATTACCCTTAATGAGAACAATGCCTTCCTTCATTACACTATTATTAGTCATTGGTTTGCATGCTCAATTCATTAGTCTTTTTTTCCCCCCATTTTTTCATTAGGTGATACTTCTTTAATGAGTTAATTTTAGTTTGATTTCATATCATGATATATCAATATTTACATTTCACAAGTCTGTTGGAGATAATATATTCTGATATCTTCTAATATCTTTAACAATATAATATTATCTCCAACACTCTCTCTCAAGTTGGAATACGGAATGCTTAAAGTGAAGTGTCCAACTTGAACTCGAAAATATGATGATCATTACAAACAACTATAATGAAGTTGTCGAAAGAAAACAACAATTGTAATCACTCCCTTCAGTGACAACTTCAAAGAGCATAGGTAAGAAATCAGCATCTTGCAACAAAGAAACGTGCATGGAATCAGTTACGATGGCAGCAAGAGAAACCAACCGAGAGAGAGAAAGCAACAAGACCGAAGCAACGACAAATCACCACAAACAGAAAGGCCGAAAAAATGGCATCCCACAAAGAATGCTACGAAACACACCGGTGGCCCAAAAACAAAAAAGAACCAAATATGTGCTTACCACGTCAGCACAAGGATTCTAAAAGGGTAGAGAAGTAGCCGAAAAACTCAGTATATCACATAACAATGCTATCAAACACACTGGTAGCCTCGAAATAAGTAAAAAACACAAAGTTTGCTTACCACTTCAACAAACTATTAGTCAACTTAAGGAAGAGAGAAAGACACTTTGATAACAAAAAAAGGTGGAGTAAGAAAGCACTCCAGAGAAAAACAAGCCTAGGGTTTGGTTGACTCTGATACTAAGTTTAATTTTGTAATAAGGCAATAAAATTGAATATGGAGAGAAAATAGAGACAGGAAAATGAAAAGAAATAACACGAAGGCTTAACGTGGTTCGGCCAATATTGGCCTAAATCCACACACACACAAAGCCCTAGGGGGCTACATCTTTCATTCACTTAACTTTATACTCTTGTTTACATGATACACCATATATATAGAATGGGAACAAATCATGGGGTCTCCATATATTCTGATATCTTTGACAATACAATATTATCTCCAACAAAGTCTTCCATATTCTTATACCAAGCTAAAAACTGTCAGCCCTTGATTAGATTGGGATGACAGGTTTTACTCTTTCTTTATTTTGCAGTAATCATCATGCCTCTTGATTCTGTTTTCCCTCTTTCTCTGTCCCATAAATCTCAATTGTTGTGAATCGTGACACTTCCATTTTACATTATATTAATTATTTTGACCAAGATACATTAGGTATATCTTTGAGGAGATGGAAAAACGGAAGGAAAACCAAAAATGTCTTCTCCAAGCCAAAAAAGTAAAACAAAAAGAAAAACAATGCAACACAAACAACAACACGCATCTTTGGGAAACACTCGTGCATTTGTTTTCTTTAATCTTTACTTTTATGATCTTTTTCTTACTTTCAACTTTAGGTTTCTGTATATAGCTTTTGTTTCTTTTTGAGTTCAGATTTATAAAAGGAAAATGTCTTCGTACTTTTTCAAAAGCCCATGTTTGTTCTCATCTCTAAAATTGATTTAGACTTTTAAAATTGACTTATACTATATGTTTTGTAGGATGGAATGCTTAAACATAAAAATACATATGAGATTATATCTCCTGAAGATATTGGGCTTCACCGGGCTAATGAGTCTGGCATTGTCCTTGGAAAACTCAGGTATGCTGTACCAAATTTCTACTTGGCAGATTTCTGTTTCCTTTTTCTTTTCCTTTTTTGGGCCTTTCAACTTGTTTTTGTTTGTTTTGTTTAGTTCTTTTTACTTCTTACTACCAATATATTAAATGTATCTTCTTGATGTTTTCCTCCTTCAGACGAGCATAGAAAATGCATGTTTGCACGTGCTAAGATATCATCCTGCATCTTGCACTATTGTAGTAGATGTACTGTAGACTAGATCTCCAGAAAATGGGATTGAGTGTTTGTATCTGAGCTCAAATTGTATTTGAAGATATACATGTGCAACAAAACACTTTTTCAGTGAGACCTTGACAAAACCAAAGTTATGTAATCTGAGTGGCTAACAGGCAGACGATTTGTGATCAAAGCATTGTAACACAAATAAAACCTGCTGGCTGCTTTAGAGAAAGCCAATTTCTGCTAAATTTCTAGCATTGATCAGAAAGGACAACTTGAGAATCTTCAATCAAGGGTAGTGAGATGAATCAACATGTCTAAATAAGGAATGGATCAACCTGTCCAAGCCTTGTTTCCAAGGGCTCGTTGAATATTCATAGTAGTAATAAACAAAAGATTTGTTGAAGTTGGACTGACTGAATCCCAAGCAATATATATTGGTTGATCCCAAACAAACCATAAATGAAAACATTATTGAAAGACTTACTAAAAGATAAGTTTAGATAACTTTCCAAAACCTGTATATAACATAGTGATTTCAGCTGTACTTGGATATTTGTAGTTTTCTCGTTAAAAAATTACAAACTCAATCCAGTTACTGGAGTTTTTGATTTATGTGCTTTAACGATGAGCGATGTGATTGGCCTCCATCTCGAAATAATGAGCGATGTGATTGGCCTCGATCTTGAAAGATGTATTCTTGGGAAAAACTCTAGTACCATCTTGATGCGGCCCAATCGGCTAACAGCCGGCTGATCCACAATCAAGGTACTGTATGGCAATCAAATTGCTCTGCTACCATTTTGTTTGTCAAGCTGTTTAAAAGAGTTGCCTAAAAGATGGGAGGTGTGTGAATATATATATCTAACACCATCTTGATGCCGGTCAATTAGCTAAGAGATGGCTGATCCACGATCAAAGTGGCATATCTGCAATCAAACTGCTCTGATACCAGTATGTTAGGTAAGTATGCTATTTAAAAGTGTTACCTAAAAGAGGAGAGTTGTGTGTATATTTTGGTAATGAGGAATCGGGGGCTTTGTCGTGACTACTCTCCCATTCCACACATAATGGGCAATTACCGGGCACAGGTCCTGCGGTGGTCCCCAAAAGGGGATCAAGGGCTTCACGGGATTTAAACTCATGACCTGTGCTTCTTGAGGCACTTATCATGGTTCAACTTGCCACTCGGTTAACACCTTGGAGTTGTGAGTCTCTGTGAATATTCATAGAATTTTTCAAAAACCCTAACCACTTTTGTACTGTGCTCTGCCATTTAGTATGGCAAAGAAATGAGCATACAAGAAAAGGTGTGACCAAAGAAGTATGGACACGGACACGCGACATGACACAAACATGTTGATACGGCAATTTTCAAAAAATGCAGGACACGACATGTGGGGGACATGCATAAAATATAATTTTATATATTTATTATATGTCATATATAAGAATATATCATTCAATGATAATAAATAAAAAATGCAATATAAGACTTTGTGTACATGAACTTTATTAAGTGTCCTAGGCTGGTCCATTGCACACACTCTCTCTCTCTCTCATGTGTGCCTGCACCTAAATTGCTCTGGTAGGGATTTGGCTGCTCCCTTTTAAGGGTTATAAATGGTGCTGCAGTCTTGAGCCTCGCAATTAGCACTATCAGTATGGCATCATCTTTTTTTTTTTTTTTTTTTCTTTTTCTTTTTTTTTCCCCTTCTTTTAACCTTAATTTTTTTTTGTCACTGTGTTGTGCTTGTCAAAGTGCTAGATGCAATGATGGTGAATTTTCTGTCTGATCTATTTATATCTAAGAGAGTACTAAATATTCATATGGTCTTACTATGATGGATGTTGGTGGATCGAATCCTCTCTTTCTCCCTTTGTAGATCATTTCAATAACACTCTGTTTGAATGGAAAGGTTTGGTGAGAGAAGAAAAGAGGAGAGAATGAGGTTTCTCGTCACTTGTTTGGATGATCAATAGTGAGAAATGGTGAGAAAGAAAGAGAAATGGTGATAAAGACAACCCCCTCATAACTTAAGTTTTGTTTTTCTCCAGAAGTGGTGAGATTTCGTGACAAACCAAAATTACTCTATACCAAAAAATAAAATAAAAATTAAAAGACATCCTCTTTTAATCATTCTTCATCTAAACAAGAAGGTCAGAAATCACAATCATTTCTTTTCTTTTCTCACCTAAGTGAGGAACTACAACAATTTCATTTCTTTTCTCATCTCTCGATCCAAACGGAGTGTTAAAGTTTTCTTGAGTGACATTATAACATTTTTTGTGAAATTTTTTTGGGTATAGTGGACGTCATGCTTTGAAATCTCGACTTTCAGAGGTAGAGTGCAATTTTTTCTTTTTCTTTTTTTTTTTTGTTGAGAATTGTTTAAATTTTACTTCCTGATGTCATGCAATAATAGTCCTGATTTACTGGCTTTTCAGCTTGGTTACAATGTTGATGGTAAGGAATTTGATGATCTTTTCTGGCGTTTCAAAGCTGTAGCTGAAACGAAAAAGGTAGAGGGGATTAGTTTATACTTTAAAATGTTGAAGCTGATATTCTTGAAAAACTAAGTGCCAAAAAAAAGGGCATTAGTGAATTAATTAAAGTCTCTGACTGGATGCAAAACTGGGGAAATTCTATTAACAACACAAAAAATCTTAGTACATACAATTTATATTGTTCGGATATAAACTTCCGAACAAAAAACAGTTGTTTGGCTATAAACTATGGAACAGAATGTACTGAACAATTCATTTTTGTTTGGAAATTTATGTCTGAATATTTGATTTTTGTTCGAAGTTTATATTTGAACGAGACAAATGGTGTGTGCTAAGATTTTCCACAGTGTTCGAATAGAATTACCCACAAAACTCTTCTGTTTTTTCAATTCATACCATGATTTTTCCTGATAAGCGGGGGAACATAGAAATAAGGATGCTATCTCTCTTTGATTTCATAACTAATTTCTAGTTTCTTGAGTAGATGATGGAAGAAAACCAAAGCAAATATTGGCAAAATTGTTCTTCTAGCCGTCAAACCACAATGTCAAACCACAATACATGGACATCTAGTTAAATTGAGGCTAAGAAAACTGAGTATATCATTCCATTTCCAACATAAACAAAAGCACCCAAAATGATTGGCAAAGAATTTACTGCACCTTCACAAGAAGTATGTATTGTGGTTCTACTTCTTGTGAAAGTGCAGTAAATTCTTTGCCAATCATTTTGGGTGCTTTTGTTTATGTTGGAAATGGAATGATATACTCAGTTTTCTTAGCCTCAATTTAAGAATCAGTAAAGAGGGTGCTCGCAAGGTTGCATGAATTCCCTTATTAAGTTGCATGGTCTTTGTCATGTCGCCTTTTGTGTCAATGTAAATCAGTATTCACTAGCTAAAGGTGTAATAACCTAAAACTTTTGGATTTGTTGCATAAAATAAATAACCTAAACCACTCCCTCAGCCCTCACTTTACTCAGGTCTCTTATTATTATTATTATTATTATTATTGTTATTAAATTTTTGGTTCTGTTTATGTTTTTTGTTGTGGTCCAGATTACTACTGATGATGATCTGATAGCACTGGTGTCAGATGTAGTTTTCCAGCCACAAGTTGTTTGGAAGCTTGGAGATGTTCAAGTACGTATAGACTCTACTTTTAAGTTTCAACGTAGTTGTTCATTATTCAATTAAGTTGTGACTCTTAACAATTAATTTGAATACTTGCCAAATAGGTTACATGTGGAACTCTTGGTCTCCCTATGGCAACTGTTAGACTCATTGATGTTGAGGGGGAAGAGCATATTGCATGTGCGAATGGAACAGGTCCAGTTGATTCAGCATACAAAGCGGTTGATCTCATTGTGAAGGTTTGCCGCAGAAACTTGTATTTTCTTCTCCCACTATATCCTATGAGGCTTGATAATAGTTAGAATTGTATGAAGAAGAAAAGAAAGAGAGACGAGCGAGAGAAATAATCTGCAAGAAAAGAGAGGCACTCTAAAAATTAGGGTTTTCCTCTCTTACCTCAATACATTTGTATTAAAAGGTAGATAAATTAAAAATATAAAAAATTCCCTCAACACAACTTAATACTCCCCATCAAGTTAGTGCATAGATATCTCTCATGCTCAACTTGCACATAATATGATGAAACACCTTGCCACCCGGACTTTCAGTTAATACATCAACTATCTGGTCTTCTGGTTTCACTAAAGCATATAAATCACACTATTATTCAATTTCTCATTAAAAAAATAACTCAACTCCAAAATTACTATCAATGAACAAGCCAGTTACCAATGGCTATTGTTGATAATGATTTAACTATTCGTTATCAACAATCAAAATTTATGGTGTTGAGGACTTATTTTTCCAAAACCAGAACCAAATGACTTATTTATCAAAAACTAGAACCAAAGTCTACAAAACAGTTAGTTTAGGAATGAAAAAGAGCATACACGCAATTTTAGTTTGAATTATTACTCAACAAAGCCTCATACCGATAATTTGAAATCAGCCAGATGAATCTTGTTTTGCCATTCGGCTCAATAGTTCATAACTTCAACCAAACAACACACTATCATGTCTTCCTTTACTTTCTTAACCCACAATGATTTTAGCCTTCCTCTTCCTTTGCATTACCCTTAATGAGAACAATGCCTTCCTTCATTACACTATTATTAGTCATTGGTTTGCATGCTCAATTCATTAGTCTTTTGTTCCTCCCATTTTTTCATTAGGTGATACTTCTTTAATGAGTTAATTTTAGTTTGATTTCATATCATGATATATCAATATTTACATTTCACAAGTCTGTTGGAGATAATATATTCTGATATCTTCTAATATCTTTAACAATATAATATTATCTCCAACACTCTCTCTCAAGTTGGAATACGGAATGCTTAAAGTGAAGTGTCCAACTTGAACTCGAAAATATGATGATCATTACAAACAACTATAATGAAGTTGTCGAAAGAAAACAACAATTGTAATCACTCTCTTCAATGACAACTTCAAAGAACATAGGTAAGAAATCAGCATCTTGCAACAAAGAAACGTGCATGGAATCAGTTACGATGGCAACAAGAGAAACCAACTGAGAGAGAGAAAGCAACAAGACCGAAGCAATGACAAATCACCACAAACAGAAAGGCCGAAAAAACGGCATCCCGCAAAGAATGCTACCAAACACACCGGTGGCCCAAAAACAAAAAGGAACCAAATATGTGCTTACCACGTCAGCACAAGGATTCTAAAAGGGTAGAGAAGTAGCCGAAAAACTCAGTATATCACATAACAATGCTATCAAACACACTGGTAGCCTCGAAATAAGTAAAAAACACAAAGTTTGCTTACCACTTCAACAAACTATTAGTCAACTTAAGGAAGAGAGAAAGACACTTTGATAACAAAAAAAGGTGGAGTAAGAAAGCACTCTAGAGAAAAACAAGCCTAGGGTTTGGTTGACTCTGATACTAAGTTAATTTTGTAGTAAGGCAATAAAATTGAATATGGAGAGAAAATAGAGACAGGAAAATGAAAAGAAATAACACGAAGGCTTAACGTGGTTCGGCCAATATTGGCCTAAATCCACACACACACAAAGCCCTAGGGGGGCTACATATTTCATTCACTCAACTTTATACTCTTGTTTACATGATACACCATATATATAGAATGGGAACAAATCATGGGGTCTCCATATATTCTGATATCTTTGACAATACAATATTATCTCCAACAAAGTCTTTCATATTCTTATACCAAGCTAAAAACTGTCAGCCCTTGATTAGATTGGGATGACAAAGGTTTTGCATCATGGTCTAGTTCTAGAGTTGGACAAAGAAGTGATATGTTTGTGGTGAAACCAACCAATATGTCCTTAAGAAAGGGGCATTAAGCTATGCACTTCATGCAACTTCAATTCACATTTAAGGAAACATGTAACAGAACTTCATAGGGGAAATTATTTTTAGTAGACCTTATGGTCCATTCAAGCCGAGTAAGAAGGGATGGAAGCATATTATATGTTCATGTATGATGAAATGATTTAAGTAGAATTACATTCACTTAATCACAATGCAGTCAAAAGAAGCAATGCATTTTAGAATGTACTAAAAAAATTAACAAGATTCTTGTTTGGCCAAATTTTTTTCATTGAACTGCTGATTATCAGGTGATTACAATATCCTTCAGAGGCATAATAATATTAAAATAGTGGATAGATACCATTTTTTGATAGAAAGCTGTGTTTGTTTTCTAGTTTTGTTTTTTCCTTTCTCTTTTTTGTTCTTAGACATGGGAATTTAAATATATATCTACTGTTCATTTAAATCTTCAATTAGCATATCGCAGAGTCATAATCCTAATCAACAAATAACTTACTAATGATTAAGCTGAATCATATGTATGCAAAACAAGAGAACTTCTAGTCTGCTATTGTCAATGTAGCCAGTTTTGTAGCCTTGATCCTTTGTATCCGTTTGGCCTGCTAAATAAGTTCGTAATTTTATTTTTTTTTAGAATAGAATTATCATGAAAAACTATGGTATATGTTCGGAGAATTTAATATAAATTTCTTGACGAAGAGTGTAGTCTAGGTGAAGTGAAGAAAGGACTCACTATGTGATATTTATCATAAACTTATTTTAAAACTACTTTTACTATAAAATATGAGTGATACCCTTTTTCAATTATAGATTTTAATGGAAGCTTCAACAAAGCCTCATACCGATAATTTGAAATCAGCCAAATGAATCTTGTTTTGCCATTCGGCTCAATAGTTCATAACTTCAACCAAACAACACACTATCATGTCTTCCTTTACTTTCTTAACCCACAATGATTTTAGCCTTCCTCTTCCTGTGCATTACCCTTAATGAGAACAATGCCTTCCTTCATTACACTATTATTAGTCATTGGTTTGCATGCTCAATTCATTAGTCTTTTTTTCCCCCCATTTTTTCATTAGGTGATACTTCTTTAATGAGTTAATTTTAGTTTGATTTCATTTCATGATATATCAATATTTATGTTTCACAAGTCTGTTGGAGATAATATATTATGATATCTTCTAATATCTTTGACAATATAATATTATCTCCAACACTCCCTCTCAAGTTGGAACACGGAATGGTTAAAGTGAAGTGTCCAACTTGAACTCGAAAATGTGATGATCATTACAAACAACTACAATGAAGTTGTCGAAAGATAACAACAATTGTAATCACTCTCTTCAATGACAACTTCAAAGAACTTAGGTAAGAAATCAACATCTTGCAACAAAGAAACGTGCATGGAATTAGTTACGATGGCAGCAAGAGAAACCAACCGAGAGAGAGAAAGCAACAAGACCGAAGCAACGACAAATCACCACAAACAGAAAGGCCGAAAAAATGGCAAGATAAAAATAGTAATAATGAGACAGATAACAGTGACAATAGTAGTATAATGATGGTAGTAATAATAAGATAAAAATAGTAATAATGAGACAGATAACAGTGACAATAGTAGTATAATGATGGTAGTAATAATAAGATAAAAATAGTAATAATGAGACAGATAACAGTGACAATAGTAGTATAATGATGGTAGTAATAATAAGATAAAAATAGTAATAATGAGACAGATAACAGTGACAATAGTAGTATAATGATGGTAGTAATAATAAGATAAAAATAGTAATAATGAGACAGATAACAGTGACAATAGTAGTATAATGATGGTAGTAATAATAAGATAAAAATAGTAATAATGAGACAGATAACAGTGACAATAGTAGTATAATGATGGTAGTAATAATAAGATAAAAATAGTAATAATGAGACAGATAACAGTGACAATAGTAGTATAATGATGGTAGTAATAATAAGATAAAAATAGTAATAATGAGACAGATAACAGTGACAATAGTAGTATAATGATGGTAGTAATAATAAGATAAAAATAGTAATAATGAGACAGATAACAGTGACAATAGTAGTATAATGATGGTAGTAATAATAAGATAAAAATAGTAATAATGAGACAGATAACAGTGACAATAGTAGTATAATGATGGTAGTAATAATAAGATAAAAATAGTAATAATGAGACAGATAACAGTGACAATAGTAGTATAATGATGGTAGTAATAATAAGATAAAAATAGTAATAATGAGACAGATAACAGTGACAATAGTAGTATAATGATGGTAGTAATAATAAGATAAAAATAGTAATAATGAGACAGATAACAGTGACAATAGTAGTATAATGATGGTAGTAATAATAAGATAAAAATAGTAATAATGAGACAGATAACAGTGACAATAGTAGTATAATGATGGTAGTAATAATAAGATAAAAATAGTAATAATGAGACAGATAACAGTGACAATAGTAGTATAATGATGGTAGTAATAATAAGATAAAAATAGTAATAATGAGACAGATAACAGTGACAATAGTAGTATAATGATGGTAGTAATAATAAGATAAAAATAGTAATAATGAGACAGATAACAGTGACAATAGTAGTATAATGATGGTAGTAATAATAAGATAAAAATAGTAATAATGAGACAGATAACAGTGACAATAGTAGTATAATGATGGTAGTAATAATAAGATAAAAATAGTAATAATGAGACAGATAACAGTGACAATAGTAGTATAATGATGGTAGTAATAATAAGATAAAAATAGTAATAATGAGACAGATAACAGTGACAATAGTAGTATAATGATGGTAGTAATAATAAGATAAAAATAGTAATAATGAGACAGATAACAGTGACAATAGTAGTATAATGATGGTAGTAATAATAAGATAAAAATAGTAATAATGAGACAGATAACAGTGACAATAGTAGTATAATGATGGTAGTAATAATAAGATAAAAATAGTAATAATGAGACAGATAACAGTGACAATAGTAGTATAATGATGGTAGTAATAATA